TGGGTGGCTCCTTGGAGGCAAGGATTCTGAGGCTCCAACCCGGTTTAACCCTTTCGAGGACAAATCTGTTTGTTTTCCTAGCAGGCAGGGTTGTGTCATCCGCATAACACAGATTGTTGATAAATTGTCCACCAATCTTGACCCCACATTTCTCCTCATAGAGCCCAGCCTCCCGGATAATCTGTTCTGCATATAGGATGAAAACATATGGAGATAGGATGCATCCCTGGTGTATGCCCATCCCAATTTTGCAGTGTTCCCTTGCTCTGTTCTGACGACTGCCTCCTGGTCCAAGTGTAAGTTTCACATTAGAATGATCAAGTGTTCTGGGATTCCCATTCTTCAACATATCATCTATCTATCTACATATATATGTTATGTTTCAGAGAGTTGGACAATAACTGAGGATGACAGAAGAAGAACAGATGCTTTTGAGTTGTGGTGCTATAGAAGAGTCTTGCACATGCCCTGGACTGCCAAGAAAACAAATAGATCTATCTTGGAGAGGGTGAAACCAAGTCTCTCCTTCGAGGCTCGGATATTGAAGCTCTGCCTCACTTTGGGCCAGGAGAGAACAGTCCTTGGAGAAGGACATCATGCTCAGAAGGGTGGATGGACAGCACACAAGAGGAAGACCCCACATGAGATGGATTGATACAGTAATGGGCAATGAGGGTTGGTGTGTCAGAATTAGTGAGGCTGGCTCAGGACAGGGAAGGGTTCAGAGCTGCTGTACGTAGGGTCACTATACATCGCAGGTGACTGAATGGCACATAACAACAATAACATACTATGACAGGTTTGGAAGCAGGAGTGGCATCAACTTCCTAAATAACATGCTTTTGGAAACTATGAACTTTGATACATGTCAATAGTTGTAGAGGGGCCTCAGGCCTTTTGTTCATAGGGTCAATGTGAGTCGTGCTCGACTCAATGGCAATCAACAACAACGATAACAACAGAAATATATGTTGCTGTGTACTGTCGAGTCAGAAGCAGCTGATAGCTGATCCTCCAAGCAGGTTTTCAGGGGCAGTTTAATCACACAGCATATTGAAATTTTTGGTTTTGTTTTCTCTTCCTTGAGTTCTCCTAAAGTCTTAATGTAAATTTTTGCTCTAGCCTTCACCCAAAATGAAGGAGGCTCAGCTACTGCTGAGCTGGAATGGACTGATAGTTGACCTTACAGTGGGTTTTCAGAGGCTATAAGTCACATCAAATTGTGGTTAGCCTTGAAGACAATGGGAATCCCAGAACACTTGGTTGTGCTTATGTGAAACTTATACTTGGACCAGGAAGCTGTCCTCAGAACAGAGCAAGGAAACACCACATGGTTCAGAATCAGAAAGGGAGTGCATCAGGCACAGGACATGGCATGCTTCAGAGCTGTTGTACATAGGTTTGCTATGAGTCACAGGCGACTTGACAGCACACACTACCACCAACATAAGTCACGTGGAAGGAGACCATCCATCTCTCTCCCCGGGATCAGCTTGTGGATTTGAACTTATTTCCTTATCATTAAACCGCAAGAACTCTAACAGGAATTTCTGAAGGCTTCATGCACATTTATAGAATGTTTTAAATGCAATGCAATGTTATTACCTTCAAATACAAAACTGTTAGGAGTCACTCTCTTTAATGTCATGCTATTGTTATGTGCCATCGGGTCACCTGCAACTTATAATGATGCTATGTACAATAGCTCTGAACTGTGCCTTATCCTAAGCCAGTCTTACTATCTCTGATACACTTATCCCCCATTTACTGTGTCAGTCTATCTCATCTGGGGTCTTTCTCGCCTATGCTGTCCCTCCACCCTTCTAAGCATGATATCCCTCTCTAGCGACTGGTCCCTCCTGGCTACATGTGAGATGTTGTTGTTGTTGTTGTTATGCGCCGTTGAGTCGCTTGCGACTCATAGCGACCCTATGTACAACAGCCCTAAACTCTGCTCTGTTCTGTGCCAATCGCACTGTCTCTGACACACCCATCCTGATTACCCCAGTCACTGAATCAATCCACCTCATAGAGGGCCTTCCCCTCCTGCGCTGTTCCTCCACCCTCCCAAGCATGATGTCCTTCTCCAAGGACCGGTCTCTCACAACATGTCCAAAGTATGTTAGACGGAGCCTCAGAATTCTCACCTCCAAGGAGCCACCCGGTTTAACCCTTTCCAGGACGAATCTGCTTGTTTTCCTAGCAGTCCATGGTATTCTCAATACTCTTCTCCAGCACCACAGCTCAAAGG